CAATATGAGGAACTCACCGTACCATGCAATGACGAAATGGCTAGCGGAGAAACTTAAGCCTCTACAGTATCAACTACCGCCACATAGCTATCGGGATACCTCTGAATTTATTAACGGCGTGAAAAACTTCGATCGGAAAGAAATGGTTATGTTTTCTTTAGATGTTTCATCCCTTTTTACGAACGTACCGGTCACAGAAATGGTGATCTACCTCTGTGATTCCATTGCCGGCAATCAACAAGATATAGGAATGCAGTGAATGCCCTCAAGGAATTGTTATTGAAGTGCACCTTTAACGCGCAGTTCCTATTTGACAACAATCTGTATAGACAGATGGACGGAGTAACCATGGGCTCGCCCCTTGGCCCGCTTTTGGCGAGTGTATTCATGGGCAAGCTAGGAGCTTTTCAGCCACGTCACTAGATAAACTGTCTGAGATACTATGGGCGGTATGTGGATGATACATTCGCAATTGCACCGAAACAAAATGACGTAGCGCGCAGGATTGTCGCCTATTTCTGATGAATCCCACCGCATGTGTATGCTTGCATAATGTTGGAATTACGTGCCTCTCCGTGTGTGGGTTTTGGCCCCGGCAACTAACGCGCTTTTAGGGGCCTAACGATGAGTCGCTGAAAAAGAGGATGCGTGTTACAGGAAGCAGTTTGGAAGGATTAGATCTGATCGCTGAGGCATGACGTTAATTCGTCTGACATTTCGGATTCCTACCCGAATCCCCCATCAGCAACAATCGCACATAAGGGTAATGGACGCAGTCTAATCATCATCAGTGACGAAATTCCCGCAATTAACCACTCAGGTGTGAACTACCACTCAACCATCATACTAGTTATCATCAACGACGGTAAATGCGAAAGCTGCTAAGCGCTACCAATTATGTGGTTTCGTGGCAACCATATTATAAGACGTGCCACACGGTAGATGCCCTGGATCAACACGGGTGTCAGATCGAAGTTCGGCAGGCGTTATCGGGAATGCGCACCCATAACAAATGGCAGCATTCGGGTGCGATGGCACGCCCACTTTCTCGCTCACTCCGCGCCAACTGGGATCCACGCTGCACCTTCCCCCCTATTTTTGTGGTATAAAATCCTAGTTAGTTGTACGTGGTTGACCAGAATGCGTGGTGGTACGCCTAGGTGCGGATTTACGTCGTGCCAACCACCTGCGTCCTCCCCCGCCTCCGGTCACTTTGACTCTGTCTTGACACCGAGCCCGGGTGGGGGGAAGAGGCGAGAGTACGGTAGACGCTGCGCAAGTCCAGTATCACTTTAAACTAATTCAGACGTAAGTCACCGTCCCTGCTCTCACTTTGCTGCGAAACACGCGGTTGGACATCGTCGGATGGGACGGTCGAGCTCCCAGCCTATGAATACTGCACCCTTTGTACGTCAATCGGTCTTATCTGTGACCGTATCTGATAGTAGATGCGAGTGAGTATCCGAAACACCAGGCAACCGGGCGTCTTGTTCCACCGATCACATCATATTCCTCTGTAGCAATAATTGATTATCACGAGGAAAATGTCTTTGATCTGATGCTATCACATTACCCTCAGGACTGGCTGAAGAGGTTGTGTAGTAAGACCGTGTGTCAGGAGCACTCTGATGGAACTTTAAATTTCGGAACACCTTTTTCGTCTTTGTGGGGGAGAGATTAGAAGGTGCGTCTAATAAACAGGGTGATTTGTGCTTTGAAAAGTCCGCCATACGGTTCGCATCTGCCAATAACTCGCTTACTTTTTACCTTAGCTACTGCTATTCTGTGTAAATAACAACCGACAGCGCTTTCATATATGTCTTGTCAGTATCGGAGAAGCCGCTCTTTTTGTTCCTGCCACTAACCACTGGACCCAGCCTACACTGGCACCCACGCTTTATCGCCGTTTAGCTGCCGAACTCGTCACGTGCCACCTCCGCTGAGTTTGACGATCGATTGCCATGGTGAGCTTGCTGCAGACAACAACAGACTGCCAAACTTTAGAGTCAGCACTCGCTCTTTATACATCCGTGAGCTGCCCACGTAGAGTAGGCTGTTGGCAAGACTACGCCCACCCACACACACAGTTGCTAAAGCATCAGTTATAGCTACGGGGTTATTAACTTCTCAATGCCATCTGCGGCTCGGATTTTTAAACAGTTTCGCTCTTATACACAAAAATAATAAGAAATGTTATCTAGAAAATGCGCTCCTATCAAATATATTGCCTAAAAACAGGTATTAAAAAATCGTGGAATGATGTGCTATGGAAAGCAAGATTAATCTTTAGAAGGTGGGCGCGTTATTGGCATAACGCAGAAAATGCTTTGCCAGGTCTTTCTAAGGCGGTTTCTTCGTTCCTGTCGAGAGAATTTCGTCGAGATGTAAACATGCCTAACCGGGCTGTATGGGGGAATTTCATCCATCGTTATAGGATTGCCATTTGTGATATTCAGAGCCGAGGAAGTGGTTGAGTGCCACTTCTGTTGACTAATAGACTTACCCATAAATGACCGTATTCTACGTCGCCTTAAGTCGTGGGACATCTAATCTCGGTTATTTGTTGCTGACCTAAAACTCCTGAGTAGCAGGGCTTAACAAGTCTAACCACTACTTTCTTCACCCAGTCTCGCTTTAAAAAGGGCGCATGAGCTTTACTGAAGAAAGTAGAAGGGCCTGCTAGAACAGTTTTGTGCTCCAATTACAGCACACCGGAATAACGACCATCCGGTGAGCGATCAGTCGTGCCCTTTTGATGCAACCATGTTAGTACTTCGTAGACCGTGAACGGAGCGAACTTTAACAATCCAACAGCGTTTACGGCTAATCCGAATCAAGCTGCTGACCCCTCCCCCAGATGTGCAAACGGTGCTCTGACTCATGACAGTGACGCCTGCTAGCTGTGCAAACCAGTCAACAGTCCCGTCTGCCTGAGTGGCGGTAGGTGGAAACTATTTTTAGTCTGCGCGACGGTTCTGCCCGAAGCGCAGCGAAATAGGCAGTCTTACTTTATAGTAGGTAAAGAACCGACGTAATTTCTAGCTCCTAGTTACTATAATATCTTATAAAGACAGACTGTGATGTCTAAGGAAGTACTGAAGGTGACCACCATAAAACCGGGACGAAAAAATGACGCTACTTACGGGTATTAGCAGTTTGATTTCGTCTCGAAGCAAGCACTTTCTAGCTGTGAGTTCGAATTCTTCCACAATCTGCCTCAGCAGAAGGCCCCAGTTGCAACAAATCACTCTCGTTCAATTACTGGCCTATTACTACATGACATTTCTTACCACTGAAAAGGATGAGTGACGCGCGATTAATTAGGTTCGACCCTTAATTGCCATCAACAGGACATGTCTGGTAGTTAATAAGTGCAATACCCCAATTAGTAAACAACAATGGGACAATTTTGAGAACATCCCTTGACACAGGACGTCACGGTGCCATTAAAATAGGCAATTTTTGGCTTTAGATGGACATCCGGTTAATTTCCTTCCCCTATGACGACCAATTCCAGACGACTCATATCCAGGGGTGCTATCAAAAAGACTAGGGCCGCAAGAATGGCCGTTTTGGTTTGTAGGCTGTCACCAGCTAGCAGCACATTATAAATAGTCATCCCAGTGTCCCTAGTCTTTTCTGGCAACAGCTCTCTCGACTAATGATCGCCAATCGCTTTGCAACTGTCCACGAGAGCTCCAGCACAACTGTTAGCTTCCATCCCGAAATCAAAATAGCACAGTAGACCATCCCTGCAAAACCAAAAGCGAATGCACCCGACTAGACCGCAGGAGGTTCTCCTCCAGCCAACGGGTATTCCGACCATGGAACTCGCTACCAAGTAAGATAGTGATGGCCGACACCATTTTATGTTTAATAAACCTGATCGCGCACTTCTTAATAAAGATCTTATTTCGCAACATGACTATTCACAGCCAGCGTTGTAAAACACTTTGTGATCCGCAATCTCTCCGCACTGAGCCACAATGAACAGAAGCATTTAATATTTTTTTAAAAATTATGTTGTAATGTGAAGCGATCACGTTCTAAATGTTTGCAATTTTATTCAAAGTGTAAATATGCGAGATTACTGTGCATAAACAGGGTCATCAGGGACCCCACTTGTGGCACTTCAGTGGTTAGAGGCGTTGGACTGCTAACTAACAGGTCGCGGAATCGAGCCCCAGGTGTTTCACACACGGGGTTGGGTATGACTGGTTGACGACGGCTAAAAAAACAGAAATGGCCACTCCAGTCTCCCTTGTTTTTGTCGGTAATGTTAGTCTGCATTTTTACATACGGAGTTCGACCGTCGTTGCCGACGATAAACACCGAGTCCTCCACAGTAAGGTGGGAGCAGGTACGCTGAAGTGCACGTGAATTAGTTTAAAGTGGTAGTAGACTTGCTCAACATCTACCGCACTCTATCTTCCCACTCCGCACATGGACCCGGTGTCGAGACGGAGTCCAGAAGACCAGAGGCGCACGAAGGCGCAGATGGATGGCACGGTCGGGCCCGCACCTTGGCGTACACACACACGACACGACAGTTCGACCGTCGCATCCGACGATGTCCACCGTATGCCCATCAGCAGGGTGAGAGCAGAGACGGTGAACTGTGCGTGATTTATAGTGAGATTAGACTTGCGCTGCATCTGCCACACTCTCTCTCCTCCTCCCCCATCTGAACCCGGTGTCAGGACAGAGTCAAGAAGACCAGAGATAAGGTGGGCCGCAGGTGGATGGCGCGGTCGAGCCCGAACCTTGGCGTTCCACCACACCCCCTAGTCCACACAACAAATAACCAGGTTTTGACTAACAACAAAAGGATGACTGGCACGGCCGAAGTCGCACCTGGGCGTGCCGCCAACATCCCGCTCGGATCCCACTCAGTGGGAGTGTTATAAAGGCCACATTAAGAAGGAGCCATTGCAGCCTTACTCTTAGACCACCAGCCGGCCACTCCACACAAACACACAACACTGGGCCAACTGCGCGGTTCAAGTTATCCCGTCAGTTGGCAACTTTCCAAGCCACGGCCTGTAGTGCACCGTAATAGCTTCAAACGCGTCCGATCGTTTATAGTGAGGAAAATGCGCTAAGCCATCGACCTCATTCTCCAGGACAATGCGTGAGGTAAATGTACGAGAAGAGTGTGGACATGAGAAGTCGGCGGTATCAGTATCAGCCTTGGTGATGTTGATGTTGTACATGGCGGTGGTGTACTCGATGGGCGGCGAGGTGTGCGTTGGGATGAGCATGTCCGGTGTGCAGGATGTACTAAGTGTAATGGAGCTGTTGGCGGTAGACGCGCAGGGCGGCGGAGTGACGTCGGGGCTAGGGATGTCGGGTGCCTTGGATGTGATAAATATATCGGGGCTGCGGCCAAATCCCTTCTCGAGGATGCGCATGCGGCCGAATAGGCCCATGCGATGCGTAAAAGTGCGACGGCAGTGTGGGCAGTTGAGGCGGATGCGGCGGGTGTAGGTTTGTGCTCCAGGCACTGGTTCGCCAGTCTCTGTGCGGTAGATTCGCAGGTGACCAACCAGGCCGATGTGTGAGGTAAAAGTGCAACCGCAGTGAGGACAGGTATAGACCAGGTCTTCAACTCTGGTGTCGTTGGTGGTGGTGTTGGTGTTTGAGGATGTGTCAGGATCGTGTGTAGTGTTGGTGGGAATGGCAGAAGCCACAATGGCAGTCATTGGAGCAGCGGTGGAGGAGAAGGAGGAGGGGGATGGTGGTGGTGGTTCTAGAGGGCGAACAACATTTGTTGTGGTGGACGGAGAGACGACGGGTGATGCAGACCGGGTGCCGCATTTGATCCGAAGGCGTCCAAAAAGTCCTTTTGGCGCCCGGAATGTCCGTTGACATCGTGAACATGTTGTAGGCAGCCGGGCGTTGGTGTTGTGAGGCGGCGGCCGTGGGAGCAGGTGAAATTAGCGTATCTCGCGTTTGGTTTTCGCGGCGGCAATGAGGTTGGCTTTGTAGATCGCAGCGCTTGTTTTCACTGGCCTCCTTCAGGTCAGTCGGTCTCGGGCGAGTTCTTTTCAGTTGGTCGGGTTGGTCTGCAGGCGCAGGGACTTCAGAGTATCCTTGTAGCGCCGCACCTGACCTCCTTGGCGGCGGGAACCCGTGGCGATATCTCCATAGAATAGTCGTTTGACTAGCCGCTCGTCGTCCATGCGCACCAGGTGGCCGCTCCAACGCAGCTTCATTTGTCTCAGCATGGTGTATATGCTGAGGATTCCCGTCCTCTCCAGAACGTCAGTATCGGGAATTAGGTCTTACCATCTCAGCTTCAGCATTCGGCGAAGACAACTGAGGTGGAAGTGGTTGGGTCGGCGTGCTTGCTTCGTGTACACCGTTCAAGTCTCAGCTCCGTAAAGCAGCGTCGGGAGGATGGCGGCCTTCTACATCTTCAGCTTCGTGCTCAGTTGGAGACCGTGGCGATTCCAGACAGGGCTTTGGAGGCGGCCGAAGGCTTGACTGGCCTTCGAAATCCGGCAGGCGACTTTATCGTCGATTTTCGTGTTGCAGGAGAGGGTACTACCCAGATACGAGATGTTGTCCACCACTTGCAGTTGGGTTTCGTTCATGCTGATTTGCGGCGCATTATGAGGAGGGGCTGTATTAGGTTGCGGTTGATGCATTATCGCCGTCTTCTCCTAATTGATCATTAGTCCGAAGTTGTCGCGGGCTCCGACGAAGAGGTCCATGCTCCTTTGCATGTCCCCTTCCAAGGTGGGATTGAGGACGCAGTCGTCGAAGAAGAGAAGTTCATGAACGGTAGTTGTGGATCCAAGTGCCTGGAAGTGCATCCGCCGCTGATTGAGAAGATGGCTGTTCGTCCTGAAGGTGATGCGGATCCCGGGACGTTCGTCACGGTAGGCGTCCATCAGCATGATAGAGAATATAAAACTGAAGAAGGTAGACGCCAGGACACATCCCTGCTTCACTCCGTTGATCGCGGCGAATGCCTCTGAAACAGCTCCGTTGTCCGTGACGCGCACCATTATGCCGTCGTGGAGCTGGCGCACCAGCTGAATGCACCGCTCGTGGCAGCCGAATTTCTGCATGATTTTCCACAGCCCTTTACAATTCACCGTGGCGAAAGCTTTCATCAGATCCACGTCGGTTGAGTACAGGTGGGTCCGCATCTCCTGATACTTCTCCTGAAGTTGGCGAATGGCGAAGATCATGTCCGTGGTCCTACGATGACGGCGGAAGACTCATCGCCTTTCTGACAGATGACCTTATTCCAGGTGATTTTTTAGACGGTTGAGAAGGATGCGAGCAAAGATTTTCCTGGCGATGTTTGGCAATGAAATGCCTCGGTGATTGTGGCTGAGCTGGCGGTTTCCTTTTCGTTTGTATGGGTGCACAATTGTGGTGTCCTTGAAATCCTGTAGGACTTGGCCTTGACGCCACATCTCCTCGAAGAGCGCACTCAGGTGATTTGTGAGTCGGGGGCGCCGTGCTTGTAGATCTCAACAGGGACCTCGTCCGATCCTGGCGCTTTCCCGTCGGAGAGCTGCTGCACGGCCCTGATGGTTTCCTGGATAGAGGGCGGGAGGTCGAGGTCCATGTTGGTCTCCACTTGCGGGAAACGGGCGATGGCGTCCCAGTGTGTGCATGTGTTCACGCTGATTTTAGCGTCTATGCGTGTACTACTGTGTGTGAAGTGGTGTAGGGGTGTCCAGCGGTGGGTTCATGTGATGTTCGTAATAGGTCGCTCACTTGTTTGCAGGGGCAGACTACGCCTAACGTCCATTTGCTGGCACCCAACTCTCACATATGGCTCCTCGAAGCTGGGCTCTGCCCAAGCAGCCACCGCCCGGTAACCGTCACGACCGGCGAGCTAAACCAGGTGAGAGTATCCGTGTGTGCACCTGTACGCACGGTACTGTGCACTTCGCTGGATGGATGGGTCACAGACCTCAGAAGCAGTCGTATACCCCATGAACAAGCACAATAATTAACTATCTCATGAAGTTATTTCGTCCATCTTCTGATTAACAGCGATTAATTTGAACTACCTAATATCGGCCTGGCGAAGCAGTCTCGTCGGAAAAACTGCTTTACTAGCAAATTCTTCACAGACTGATTACATATAAACTCTTAGCAGTCGCTATTTGACGGGCTTTTGTGAACAAATGTCTAAAACAATTTACCGCATAGATACTACGAAGCACCCCAAATCCTTCAACTAGATGAACAGTCACAGGAATACGGACTCTCAGTGCAGCAGATAGCCTCGTGCTAAATTCAAAGAGGTGTCTATTCTCCTGTCCTAACTTTAACCTTAATCCTAGCACTAAGCCTAACTCTTACCCTCCCGACCCCAACTCTTATACACCTAACCCTACATTTCATAATCCCAACCATAACCCCTACCCTAACCCTGGAATTTAGGATAGGGCTACCTGTAATACGGAGGTCCATGTTCCCATGCCCGACTGATTGGGCTCCACAGGACTACGATGTATGACGCCATGGCAGCATATGTGGCGTATATATACATGTAGATATATACGCACAAAGCGACAAGTGAGTTTCGTAGCACGGTCAGTAAGCCCTCTTCTGTCACTGTATGTGCCCAGTCGTAGCCAACGGGGGAATGAGACTGTGAATCAGTGGCTAGGGGTGTTGAACTTCTAAACAACAGATTGCGGGATCGTGCCACAGGCGTTCCACATCTCAGGGCTGGGTATGACTGGCTGACGACGGCTGATAAGCCAGAAATGGCTACTCCAATGTCTTTTGTCTCTGTCGGTTATGCTATTCTGCCTACATACAGTAGATGTGCCAACTCAAAGGGCCAGGACTGGCTGACAGAGCTATAGAACCCGACTGCGCAGGCCACACACACGACCTGATCCTCTACGCAACACGTCAGGACTTCACACAAAGGGGCGCAAGCATACTATCTGACATATGTGGCAGCGACAGAGAGGTCACATTGGGAAGGAACTATTATAGCCTGACTCTCGGTCCACCAGTCCGTCAATCCATACAAACACACACCCCGCAGACTGCGGGATCTGGGTTGAATCGTCAGTTGGCGACCTTCCAAGTTACGGGTTTTAATGTAAAATGACAGTTTTTCCCGCGTCATATTGTTTATGATGAGGAACATGCGCCAAAATTCGACCCCAATCTCTCTTCTCTCATCCATGCACCAGTAGACAGTCCGATCCGGTCTATCAACTGAAGCTAATATTGGACGCAATGCCTGACAAAGCTAAAAACAGCCTGGGTGCACATGTCACACGTAAGAGCTGCCCCCCACACAACATACGGGAATTTCACAAACAAGAAGCAGACTGCTCGGATATCATATATGTTAGGGTAGCAGAGGTACCATGTGGAAAAAGAGCCAAACAGCATCGTTTCAACTTTCGTGAGAGCTGCCGAAAATGGAGGGCGGGCTTATGTGTGGTGCATTTGTTGGTGAGAAAATAGGTGGTGGTTGGGTTTGACCCGCGGTGTCTTGTCGCAGGGTTTCATGGATGGGCATGTGGCTGAAAAGGCCTATGTGGTGGATGAATTTGCTAGGGCCGTGTGGAAAGTTGAGGTGAATGCGTCTGGTGTATGTTAGTGCCCCAGGCACCGGTTCGCCGGTCTCCGTGTGATGGATGCGAAAGTGACCGGTCATGCCGATGTGAAGATGCGATCGCAATGAGGACAGGCTGGAGCCGAGCCCACATTGTTGTTGGTGAAGGGTGGTGGTGGTGGGGGGAGGGTTGAAGAGGCGTCGGGTGTGTTCTCAGCAGTGGTTAGGGTTGGAGAGGTGGTTGTCGTTGTCGCGGGTGTTGTATCGGGGGTAACAGATGTGATGGGGTCGACATCGTCGCTTAAGGGGTCGCTACACCAGGAGTGTGCTCTCAGGTGACGATAATGGTTGTTGCGTGGACGCGGTGGGAGTCGATGCTTGAGAGAGTTCTTCAAGGTGTCCTTTTAGCTCTTTTTTTATCCCCTATTGCAGTGGTAGCAACCTGCCTACTGAAGCGCATTTAAGTAGGCATAATATTTTGCATATATGCATATCCTTAATACCAGAAATGTAAGCAACATGCTTGCTCAAGTAGGCCGTTTACGTTGAAATATCTACATTCACTGGTCGCTTTCCTATTAGAATCTCCACGCAAATTGTACACTTACTATGGTTTTGCACTACTCGAAATTACGATCATCAGTTTATACTTTTTTATACTCTTGCAACTTGCACGAATTACTGTTCGTGCAATAAGTACTCGACCAGTCATGCGAACTGCTGCAACATCTGTTGTTTAAAAAAAACTCTGAGGACTCGAAATAAATGATGGTTATTCAGCTGCCGCTAACCTAAATTAAAATCTTTGAACTTGTTTATTTTTTAACTGGTACACTTCAATTTAACTGCCACGCCCATGTCACTTGGCTGTCTATAAGTATTTTCCCCCCAATTTTAAGGCAAGGATTTTTAAAATATATAAATGATCGACTTAGAAAGGATACGATTTGGTAACTAGGGAGCCGTTTTATCTGACAGTTAGAAATACAAATAGGCATTCTACATTCGCTGGAGGGTGGAAAGTTTTGTAAACGTGTGGAGGATTTGTAAATTAGGACGACTAGACAACCCGTATTTACCTGTTTTTCTCAAAAAACGCTTCTCGCCACATGCGTACCAGTTTCTAACTTTTTCTCCAGGGTTTGCATAATTTAGGGTTTTCTTCGCCAGGCGTCCACCTATGTGGCTTGTGCCTGTAAGCTAAAAGACGTCTCCTGTCTCATGGGAACGCTTGTGCCCCCGGATAATGCGGTCTGCCCGGAGATGGTTGCACCTAATTTGCGTGTAAGAAAGAGAGGATAGATCAAGCTAAATAAACCCGTCTGGGCATGAAATTTTTTTAAACTATCCGTCATCTGTGTCAACCGTCGTTTCACCTTCCTCAGACGTCAAAGCCGGTATTCATTATTCACAAGCGAGGTAAGGCGAATTTTCTAAACATCCACGTAAGTAGTACATGCTGTTGGCTGATGTTGACTGCTGAAACAACTACTTCACCTCGCTCGGGCACTGAAATATCTGCTGTAGGGATCACATTTAACACCCCAGTTGCGTTTGAAGGGAAATGATGGGAAAAATTCAAAAGGAACATGAGACCCTATTCCATCCGTAATGTGCCTAATGCTGTGCGCCCTGTGAACCATGTATTGCTTACCTTATCAAGTGGACAAGTTTTGGATATAAAGCTTCAGAAACTCCGGAACGTGATCGATATTAATTCATAGAGGTTTTAGGATAAACAAATAGTCGCAGAACTGCAAAAGTTAGTGAATAATGTTCAAAATAACTTCGGAACAATACGCCAAAGGGAGCAATGTTACCTACACAAAAAGGAACTGAGTGTGTGCACTTTACCCGACCTGAGCTCACTATGCTCCTAAAACGGGCCACGCGGTTGATGCGTTGGACCAACACAGGGGTTAGATCGGAGTCCGCAGGTGTTATTGGGAATGCGCGCCCATAACAAATGCCAACATTTAGGGATATGGTGGCAAACCGCAGGCACACGCAGCACCAATGTGGGTCCGCACCGCCGCTTTATTTTTTGTGGTATGAAGCCCTAATCAATGCATTTTGAGGGTGTGTGGTGGCACGCCTAGGTGCAGATTTACGCCGTGCCAACCACCTGCGTCCACTCCCGCCACCGGCCATCTTGACCCTCTCTTGACACCGAGTCCAGGTGTTGGAAGAGGAGAGAGTGCGGTAGGCGCTGCTCAAGTCTACTATCGCCATAAACTAATTCAGACGTACAGTAGGCGTGCTAACTCATGGAATGTCAACCGAAATTCAGAAATGCGTTTTCGTTTCGAAAGGACTAATTAAGTAGGGTTGTAAAACTAGTCAGCCTGCAACATAATTCTATAATATTTTAGTTACCTCAGGAGGCCGGCTTTCGAACGAACTTCCTTCCGGCTGCATGCAAAAACTACGCTCTGTAAAATATGACTGCATAAGGGGCATGAATTTTTCTCATTGATTTTCGATGTCCTTAAAAGTCCAATTATATTTCATGGAAAACATATAAAAAATATTCATTTTTTCGCTCATTGCCTGAGATTAATGCATATTGAAGTAGACTTATAATCTAGCAGAATCACTGCTGTGCAATTCTGAATAACAGTGAAATATCAGGTGTCAATTCGTGTT